TATTTACACAACAAGTTTTTTAATTTGTAGTCACTAAAGAAATTTTATATAAAATTTTGTTTTCTAGTATTACTTAATTCATTCATATAATTTATTTATTTCGTTCTAATTATTATTATTATATTATCAATATATTCCTGAACACATCAGAAACATAATTTAAGATAGATACGTAATTTTGAAAATATTAATTTAGAGAATATTATTTGGTAACAAATATTAAAATATATAGTAATATTTTAAATAATAAATTAAAAATATTTCTATTAAAATATAAAGGTTCTCTGTTTATCATTTAATTGTTTATATATATATATATAAATTAAGATAAATTTAGTTGAAATAATAAAAATTAATAATAATTAATAATAAGTAAAAGAATAAAAATGTATCAAAATTAGATATTGATCTACTGTACATATATATATATATATATATAAAACTGGAGTGTTAAGTAATAATCTCAAATTTATATTTTAAAGATAAAAAAGTGTTGCAATAATAGTATTTAATATATGAAACAATTTAATATAAATAATAAGCTATGATTTTTACATGAAATATGATACTTTGATCTATAATTTTGCAAGTAGACTTTTGCAGCACTCTTCATAATATAATTAGAATAAGAAACGCGTAGAGTTCTAGAATGTATAAACATGTGGGCGCCATTCCTAATCGAACGACTGAGTGGCCCGTCGGCTACGTGGCCAAGATGGCGACAACACAATGCACAATGCCTGACAGACACGACACGTTGAGTACAAAACATACATGTAACGTTTCGGGAGCCACATTAGAACGCATCATAATTATACTACATTACTACTATTGCAAATAAACAATTTATTTGCAACATCGTATCGATTAATTTGGAAAATCTTTAAAAAAATTAAATACATACCATTGTTTGACGATATTACGTTAATAAATCGTTCATTACGATATACGGTATCGTTATTTGACATAATAAACATGGTGTTAGATAATCTCGAAACTTCTCTCTTCTCAACTTATAATAATATGACTATTTAATTATTCTGAATACACAGTATTTCGAAATTTTTCGTCTGTTATAAAATCACGATTTAATTTTCTGTTTTACTACCTTAACTTATTATATATACAAATTAAAATTCTGTATTTTCTTACACTTTTTTTCTGTACTGATTTACATTGATCGGATTTTTTTTTAGATTTATTTACATGTAATTTATTAATATGGTGTATTCTATATTGTAAATAAATTTTTATTTTTTAGTTTAAATTGTTCTATAATTATTTATATTTTATAACTATAACTATTCTATAACTATTCTATATATAATTTCGTGTTGTTTTTTATGATAATAAGAAAATATATATATATTCCATATTGTTAAAAAATTCTGAATTGCTTCGTACAAATACCATATTACTTGACAAAATGCAACATTCAATTACTGTATTTTATTAAATATTTTATTATATTATTGAATATTTCATTGAAATTTCATTGAATAAAAATTATATTAATTATTATAAAATCAGATTATTGATATAATTTCTATTGATATATTAAATTTTAATAGATTTATAAAATAAGATAATTGTAAAATTCAAGATTAAAAAGAAATATAATATTAGATATATTTTAAACTAAATAAAAGAAATTTATTCTGCTTTATTTAAAAACTTATTTTTAAAAATGCAACGTGACTGATACAAAAATGACAAAAATAATACCAGCTTAATTTCATTAGTCGAAGATATATCCATGAATTTTTAATGAAACTATTAATAACATTATTGATATTTATTATACGTCTTAGAACATTACAAGTAAATAAGTAATATAATTTCATTTTTATAAATAAAATGAAAACTTATCTTATATAACTATCTGAATTGAGTATTGTAGAATATATTTTTATGTTATTGCGTTGTAATTAAAATTAATTTAAATAATTTGTGTGTAATTAATGGTTTATTATAATTATATTTATACTAACTATCTATAACATTTAATGATAGTTTACTAGACAATATCTTTAGTATATTTTAAACAATTATCTAACAATATATTTTAATAAATATTTCTTAAAACTGAAACAATGAAACTAAAACATACTAAAACACTTTTTATCTAATATTTGCAAATCTTTATATTTTATTTACTTAAGTATTTCTTTTGGTATTGTCTTAAACAAGATTTACACTGTGCATTAATTTTAAAGATTTATTCTTTGTTTTAATTTAATCATAATATCAATTATAAATAAATTTCTTTCAGCAAAATAAAAACATATTATAAAAAAGATTTAAGAATTTTCTTTCTAAATAAAATTAATGTATTTTAAGTAATATGATATTATCAAAATTATATTATAATTAAAAAATAAGGTTAAATACTCCAGAACAAAATGAAATTTTATTTGTTTATAGCCCTTAATTTCAATTAAATTATTAACAACATCTAGTTAGAAGGTTTTGTAGTTTTAAACTATTAAGTAAAAATAAAAATAAGTATAAAAATTAAGTACAAATAATTATATTTTGTAATTTAAATACTAAAATATAAACTCTAATGAAATAATATGTATTATTATTAAAAGATTCTTTATTTATATTATAAAATAAGTTACAAACATATTACATATGTACAAAGTCTATAAAATAATATAATTAATAAAATGTATTTATTATATTTTATAATAAAATTAATGCAACTATTAAAACATTCAAATTTAATTTAATAAAATAAAATTAAAAATTTATACATAATTAGAGTTATTAATATGGGTATATTGTCTTTTCTAATTATTTTACTTTTCTTATAAAGATAGTATTTCGTGAATTTCCGAAAAAGAAATGTCCTAAAAAATTCTGAAAAAGTTAAGTATGTCCATATATATAATATATACGTAAAAAATGTTATATCTCAATTTTATGTATTCCACTCCATTTATATATTCATTACACTCAAGAGGTTTTTTAAATCAGTTTTTTTCATCAAAATGTATCATTAAAGCTATGTAATATAATATATCTTTGTTGTTACAATCAAGTAAAATAAATTATCCATATTCAAATAAAATAACAATTAGTTATGATGTACTATGATAAAAATCAATTTCATTATTCATATCTTGCAATTCATTCTTAGTTAAATCATACTTTTTACGCTTGAAAACATATTACTAATATTCTTGTAACGTTATTTCATATATTTAAAATTTAATTACCATTTAACTTATTTTAGAATAATTTCCAAATAAGATTAACACAACATTTCATCAAATGTGCTTGACTTTTTGGAGTTATTAAATTTAAATCCATATAATTTAGATTTTTACCTTAAAATGTGTACAGTGCTACTTACATTTGTTGAAATAACGATAAATTCAACATAATGCACAATTTATATTTCTAATATGCGCAATGTATTGTTTATTATATATTATCTTATATTATAATACCTTATAATAAAGGATATATAATTTATCGATATAGAAATTATAATTTAATAGAATAATTAAGTTGCTTTAAAGAACATATGAATTCATTTACAAAAAATATATGTAAAGCTTCAGTATTATACAATCTATTTCATTTTACATATTTATCATAATTTTATATGAAGAATTGTTTAAACGTTTTCAATAAATATTTCATAACATCCAATAGAAATAAAAATATATGTAAATATATCTCCTTAAAATTGTTCAATTATTAAGAAGACTATAAAGTAAAAGTAATAAAATTATCTTGTAGTCTAAAGCATACAAGTTTACTTAAAAATTAAATTAGAATAATGCCACTACATAATAATAATTCACAAGTATTAACAAGTAAAGTATATTATTAGAATGTAATTAAGTATTTTCAATTTTAAATATTCAACATTTATTAAATTTTATAAATATGTTTAGACAATATAAAGATAGAAGAAATAACAAAATTATTTTTATCAATAAATTACCTAAAAGCAATTGAATTCTAGTTTGTACTTTATGTATACTATAATAGAATAATCTATAATAATCAAATTTAAGATGAACACATTCATTTTACTCGTATATTTAATTTCTTTTTAAAAATAATTCAATAACAAATTATTTTTATATAATTGTAGGATCGAAAAAGTTATCATCCTTTTCTTACAATGAAATAATATTTTAATTGTGAGCAATTTCTCCTATTATCATGAAAATTTATTTAAAGCAGAAATTAATATTATAAGTAAATAAATTATTATAGAAATAAACTATTGTAATAATATCTTCATCAACAATAATTATGGAAATTTAATTATATACATATAATATTACTAAATTTCATTAACATTTATGCAAATTATTATTATGTAAATAGTATCTAGATAATATATTTAATAATAAAAAAGTATACTTATTTGTCTTCAAAATATATAAATTCTTATTTTAACATATCATAGTGCTTTAACTATATGTAGTAAATTAAAAATATGTATATATTTATACTAAGATTTATTTGATTATTGTATATCTGTCAATATTTTGTATTTTTAGTCTATATATATTTGTAAAATTTTTTCTATATAACTTAGTATAGAATTTATGTATCAAAAATTTATATATCGTAGTTAATAAATAAAAGTTAATCTAAAATTCTTAGTATTCATAATCAATATCACAAATACTCTATAATTTTAAAAAATTTAATAGGTATAAATTTAAGCTATTAGTATATAATTTAAAAAGATTAGAAAAATAATTGTTTTTTAAATATTCATAAATAAATAATCAATATAGTTGTTTTTAAAAAATCAAATTAAAAAAAATTTACTTTTCTTGCTTTAAAAGGGTATTTTATTATAAAGGAATTTTTAATGTTCCCTATAAATTTTTTAATACAGAAAATAAAATAAATATTATTATTTAAAAATCTTTGAATATATATTATTTATTATTGAATTTAGAAAACCTCAAATTTATGTAAATGAGAAACTTATAAATTGATATAAGTTGGTACTTGATTATAATTCATTTGAATTTTAAGGTCAATTAAAAACTATTAATCTCAAACTCTGATGGCGTCCTCTGATTTTGCGTTGTAAATTTATTGATCGATGTTTGGTATCTAGTACTGGATGAAATAACGTCTTTACACTAGGTAGCTCCTTTTGTCATTGCTAAATCATCATTACTTTCCACTGTTGTTACTGAAAACAATAATTATTTATTCTAAGTGCTCTCAGTCTATTCTACTTGAACAGAAATACCTTTAATATCTAAATTTCTTGCAATTTCTGTGAATTGACTCTATTAATGTCAATACGATCATAACTTTAATTGCATACTAGTCTCCAAATGCTTTCCTTATCAATAAACAACTACAGTTTTTATGACTTTCTCAAACTGTTAGCGAAGTGAAGAAATTTACCTCTTTCCCAGACGCTGCACTCAAATTAAATTATCTATGTTTCCACTTCATATTATGTTGTCTGAAATATTTGAAACTTTAATATAAAAGTGGTATAAAGGTATAATCATTTTAATTTATGCTGTCCTACACTTATGCATCATTTAAATAATGTATTTATAAACTTGTACATACTTAATTAGTAAATAGCTAATATATTTAACATTTAATATAAGTATACTTAATATAATAATACATTTGATGCCACTTTGTTATACTTGAATTAAAATACATTAAAATGAATTTTTTACTCTCTATATAAAAAAAGATAATCAAAATAAAACACCTTTCTAAATATCGTTAATTTTTATTGATAAACTTAAATAAAATACCGTTTTTTTTAAACAAAATATAATGGAAATTATTGATTCTAAATCTGTTCTAGTAAAAGCGAAAAAAACTCATGGAATGCAAAGGTAAAGATGACATCTTGTAAGGTAATCATATTATTTTACTTCTAGGCTATTTTTAAAAATTTAATAATATAAAATATAATTCATATTACCTTTAACATGCTAAACTTATAGTTTTTACTGGATAAAATATCAATAAATGAGCACATATCAAGAAAACAATTTTTTCTTTTTAAACAATCTACTGATTTATATTTTATTAGAAAGTCATAGCTAGCTTTCATAATTTTATAATACTATATAAACAGATTGTAAATGATAATGAATGAAATATTTAGAGGTATTATAAAATTTCGTATGGATGAAATATATAAAATAATTAGGACATCTTTATTCATATCGAAGCTCAATACTTGTAAAATTTTTATGAATATATAAATAATTCCGAAGGTAATAAAAATAAAATTTGTAAATAAAATAAGACTTTATAATTGCAAAAACAAGCAAAATTATAATTTAGAAACTGATAATTTTATAGTAAACTAAACATTATTGAAGATTAAATATTGATTCGAAATATCATTTATCAATAAAAATTAAGAATAAAAACTTATAAAAACTATAATATATTTCCATAAATAAGCATATAATAATAATACAATTTTAGTTTTCATTTTTTAATACAATAATTATAGTAAAATTGTTCAAAATTTTATTTAATGAAGTTATTTAATAGTTAATGATCTATTACTTTTTATGTAACTTATTTATGAGTAAAATATATTGTATAATGATATATCAATAATTAGGAATAAATTTGTTCTGAAAAATATTTGTATTTAAAAATTTGTGTCTATATAAATTAAAGATTTAGACAACAATTTTAATGTGTTCATTGTATAAAAAATAATAATAAATTAAATAATAATAGTTATAAAATAGTATTATAAATTTTAATTAACAGTACTAATTGATGAAAAAACATTAAGTAATTTAACAAATAATGTAACACATGAACGTTATTATGTCTTTGTAAAATTGAAATAATCGAAGAATTGTACGTAATTTGACAAACGATGTAACATTTATAAATCCGTTACATAATTGAGAAATTAAAATTATGATATTTTTTAGATGACCCTAAAAAATCGTTTATTAAAAAATAATTATGATATTAAAAATAAATAATAATAACAATTTTGTATATTTGTCATTACTTAAACATTTTTAATGGATTTCGTGAAGATCGTAATCGCATATTTAAAATATGGAATTATACATCATTGTATCAGGAGTAACTAATCGATGTATGCTTGGAAAACAAGAGGACATTTATCCTGTAACATATTTTATGTGTGTTAAAGTATAAAAAATTTCTATTTTAATTTTTTTAAGTAGAACTTTTATAGACTTTATTTATATCATTACTTAATAATTATAAAGATTAAAAAAATTTATTAATATTAATTTCAACAGAAGAATTAACAATATTAACATTTAAAGCCATCCGAACATTTAAATGTATTAATTTTTTCATTAATTTATTAAAACTTATGATGTGTCAAATAAAGAAAATTTAACTTGAATTTTAATTATAAATATATAAAAATTAAATATCCATTTAGTTATGATGTAAAAAATTATGATATAAAAAATATTATATAATTAAATGAGTTTTTTAAATAGATTTATATCTCATACTTTCCAGCTACATAAATATGTAACATTAATGTAAAAGTAAATACATTTAAATCTCGTATAATCTGCATGTTAAATATTTGATCCATTAAATTAATACTAAATAAAGAAATAAAAGAATATTGTATAATAATTAAAATTTTCTTGATTAATCTTAATTTTAATCAATATGAAACAGTTTAAATAATTGATTTTTTCATTTATAATTTTATTTTTATAATATTTTTATAATATACGACTTATTTGTAAAGAACACGCTAAAAGTAATAGCAATATATAATATTTATTTACAATATATAGCTGAAGCAACAAATAAAATATTGATTAAAAATAAAATTGAGCTTACACGCGAGTATAAAGTCAAAACATCATGCTATAGTTAAACAACCAAATAAAAATTAGTTCATATACACCTAAGAAACGAACTAACTCGCTTGTACGCGTGTTTGCGGCACTTTCATCGCAGAATCCCAAAACAAAAAACAACCATGCGTCACATGTTCAATCCTCGGCGTTTTTTAAAACGCCGCTCACTTACGATACATGAACCAGTTGATGAATCAAATATAGGTGCTACAATCGAATGTACACACAGATATGGATGCATGAGCAAGTTTATATTATTAGATGGTAAGTGTGAGTACCTAAAAACAATCGACTATATATTCTATATCGATACTAGCGCACGTGATTCTACGTCCACGTCGAGTTCATTCATAAATCTATCATTTATAGCTTGACACATGAGTTACATGACAAAACCTTTTAACATCTTATTAGTTTTAGATATGAATTTTCTTATTCATTAGTTTGTGACTATTCAATTATTAAATTATTAAATTTAACATGAGTTATTTCAATCAATAGATAACATAATGTATTTAAAAAAATTAATAGTAAATTGAAAAAAAGAAACAAAACGTATACTTTGTCGAAAAAACTTTTAAATAATAATTTACACTTTGATGGAAATGACAATATAATACATTAAATTATTTTTATACCAATTTCTAGATTAACAAATTAAAACAATACCTTAAAATACTTTTTAAACATAAATAATCGTAAAGAAGAAAATTAATCAGGCAATTATAAAAAATTAATATAAATAAATTATACCATAAGCAATTATTTTTTATTATAAATATTTTTATTGTAAATAATATATTTTATCTACTTTACGATACTTTCAGTACTATTTGAAATAAACAATATATAAAAAAAAGTATATAAAAAATAGAAATGTAAAATTTATATTTTTATATTTTTATCAAATATTGTATCAAATATTATCGAAATTTAAATCAAATTTATTATTTCGTTTGAATAACATGAGATAAATAAGCGATTATTAAAAAGAGAGAAAATATGTACGATCATTATGAATATACTTACTAAATAATGATTGATAATATAATGAATTTGAGTATAATAAAATGTCTTTTGATTTTATTGATTATACCATTTTTTAGATTTTTTGAACATTATATTTTAATATAAATTAATTCTTAAATAGAGTAAATTATAAATTTATAGTAACGATAGATTAGAATTTATTGTAATACATAGCAATAAATTATACTGTAATGTCATTTTATCAATTATTTAATGACATAAAACGATCATACCTTACCTTCATATGATTGGGAAATATTATAGATACAAATTATAGATAAGGCTAACTATTGGAAATTAAAGTTTTTGTTTTAAGTTCTTTATTTAACATTAATTATTATCGTATTTTCTAAAATATAAAAACTATAAGAATATGTAGATAAAAAATAGATAATAAAGATTTTTACAATTAATGTAAAAACTAAAATAATTTAATAGCAACTTTATTTAAAATTTAATATTAGGTACGGAAACAAATAATAAACAATGAGTATCAACATAAAACTAAAATCTAACTACTAAAACGAACTAATAATAATATAGGATTTGTACAACTAGACAATTTTTGTAGTAAACAAACAATAAAATTAATAATCTAAATATATTATTAGTTTTTGAAAATGTAAATTAAGTCGATACTAACATATGAAAGAAAATTGTTTATTTTGCTATATTTTTTATAAAAATAATTTCAATACTTAAATATTTAATCAAAAAGTTAAATGAAATATAATTAAAGCATAAGTTTATCACAAACTAAATTGTCAATACTTATACTTCCGAACTATTACCTTAATCTTGAAGTAAGTCAGGAATAATCATTTTCAACTGCCTTATTAGCTAAGAACCATGATAAGGTTGCGTTATATGATTTTTTCGTTATGATAACATGAAATTAGATAATTAAAAAAGACTATATTGTTCATATAGATAGATGAAACGAGAGTTCTTTGATTTAACATAAATGTTCAGAATTGTATAGTAAGGAATCTACATCTAAGCATAACAAAATTATTGATTAAATGTAATATTTAATCCAAATAAAATGAAGATTATAAATAATAAAATATTACAAACATTTGTGAATCCCAATATTTATTCACACTTTTGAAAACAATTTATATTTTTTATGCTGTACAATATTACAATATTAAATACATAATTTAAAAGATAAATATTAAAATAACATTTTAATTAAATAACAAAATATTATATACATATAAATAAATAATACTTTATGATCGATAGGATGCATTTTAATGAATTGAAATACGACAATGATTTTTTATTTTTATTTTAAATATAAACTAGTATGATAATCGATTAAAATATTGAATATACAATAACAATTTATTGTTTAAAATAATTATTTTAATAAAAACAATTTCGATGCTTTATCATGATAAATTGAATGTATTTTGTGTATAATATAAATATAGTGCATACAAAAATATTAAAGTTATTTAATTGGTATTAATACCTTTAATAATTTAATTAAATTAGTTGTGAAAATTTAAATTAACACTGAATTTTAAACTTTTTCTTTACATGAATTGTATTATTTTATTCTATTTAGTTTTCGAAATCAAGTTCATATATTTGTCATTTTAATTACATAAATGGACAAAAAGAAAAGCATGGTATATATATTTATATATAATTGTTTTATTTTTCATTAAGTATTTTTTATTATAATATTAAAAAGAAACTTTTAAACAATACTAATATTTTGTGTTCAGAGTTATAATAAATAACAAGAATAAAATGATTCTTGGATTTCATTGAATTTTTAAAAATATTAATATAAAATAAATATTAATATCACAATAAATCATATAATATATTTTTAATATTTTTGATGTCTTAAATCATAAAAAGTATATGTATAATATTCATATATGTAGTTTGTGGCTAGTTAATATGTGCTTTTTATATAAAAAAATGGGATGTATTATTTTATCGTAATAATATCTATATAATGAAATATTAATGAAATGATGTAAAGATTAACAAAATTTGAAATCTACTTATTTAAAAAAAATCGACACACTTATGGAAGACATTAATAATAATGAATATTTAAAAATTAGTTTAGTTTATAACTATTATAATGTATTTATTACTGATGAAAATATATTTTTATTAATACTTTTCTATAGCAGATGTATATGATGCGTGTTTAACCTCTAAAATAAAAAACTTGAGATAAATTTTATAATAACATTTTATTCTAGTTCAATTTTTAAGCTACACAAAAAAGTTTAATCAATTGTAAAGTCTATTTAATTTATTAGCGAAGTTTAAAGTAATGTATCAAAATCAAAAGTTATTTAGATGATTTTATTCTTATTAGAAAATCAAAGAAACTAAAATAAAATTTTTTTAAATAAATAACTGATATATTTTATAGTATCTATGAGTAATATGAATTTCTCAAAGGACTTTATTGGTTTCAAATTTTGATTTTATTATAAATAATTTATTTGTTTATATTAATAAACCTAACTTGACATTAAAAGTGTAGCAAATTTTTACTTTTTATTAAAAAATATATTAATATTAATAAATATTTGTTAATAAATAATAAGAATAATAATAAGATTTTAATAATAAGATAAATAACAAATAAATACAAATAAATAAAGAAATTACAAATAAATAATTACATATTTTCATATCTGTAGTATACGTCCATTAAATAATTAATTTTCGTTTATTACATTTTATTGTCTTCTATTTATTTCATCGTATACAGTAAATGAAATGTATGTTTAAAAAAATTTAATTTAGTTTTCATTTATTAAGCTTATGAATCATATCGTAAATTTTAAAAATAATAATAAATTATTGTGAAAAGTATTTTCACGGCAAAAGCTATGTAGATGTTTTATTTAATTTATATTTTGAGATTTTTTTATATAAATAAATAAATATAGTGCATTATAATTAAATAAATTAAATATCACACATATATTTTAGGAGTTTACTACATTTTATTTAATTTAATTTAAATTTAATTTAAATTTTAATATTTAATTTAATAATTTATAATAATTTAATTTAATTAAATTTAAATTTTAATTCAACTTAATTTAAAGAAAATAATATAAAAATACATGAAATTATATAATTACACTGACCATTCATTAAATTATGATAAGTCAAAATATATAAAAGTACATATACACATCAATTCATAATCTTGTTTGAAATATTTTTAGATCCTCATTTTTTATTTTTAAAAATACATATACAAACACATATATTTATATACAAAATTTAAGCTAAGATATAAAAATAAAAAAAAATGTATCTTCATTATCCGTTTAGAACCACGTGGATAAATTACGCGTACATTATTTTACAATATTATCTAATATGCTTAGAATTATTTATAGGTTGGTAAACTTATTAAATTGGATATTAATTTATTTTTATACTCTAAATAATTATGTATATATTTATTTCTTAAATTTTCTAATAAAAAATTTACAGCGACGTGATATTAATAGGTTGACAGTATATTTTCACAAACATTAAAATGTTAATGTATAATTTATACAATAATGCTGCATAAATAAATGTATTCATTTAATTAACTATTAAAATATTTATTTGATTTTAGTCTTATATAATTAATAAGAAGTTATTTCAAAGTCTTTAATATTGAATGTGTTAATTATAAATATATTCGTTCAATTAATATACTTTGAAAAATCTTTCACTAGTGTTATAAAAGTAATCACATCTTAAAAAACGATATATACAATCACAACAGTTACTGTTTTAATAAGTCTTGTATTTTATTAAAAAAATAATACTCGATAAACATTGAATAACACACTGATCAGGACTATATCGTAATTGTGTGAAGTACCATCGATAATTTACAGTTCAATAATGAAAATAATAATCCAATGCTTAATTTGAATGCAAAACAAAAGAAACGAATATTAAACATATTCACGATAGAATGACTACATTTCACTATTGATGCGTGTACGAGTCATCGGGCGAACAGGGGCGGTCTTATCATCATTTTGATATCCAATATACATATACATCCCTCATGAATGGCCCTTGCTCTTTAGTAACTCACTGGTCAGCGGCCCTGTTCATATAATCTTTCTTCTGAAATTCTTTCTAAGTCGAGTTGGTTAATAATTAACTTTTTTATACACTTTGTTAGGATGAATCTTTCATGTATTTGATCATTCATTCCATTGTATATAATGTAAACTTAAACTTTAATAAAGTACGCATGTATGAAATTAAATTTTTAATAGACCAACACATATCTATATAATACAAATATTCTAGCTGAAATAGTTTACTAGGAATTAATAATTATATAATTTACAATTATAATGCTGATTGAATATTTGAAGATTAAAGTTTAATAATTTATATAAACATTTGAATATTAAACTAATTACTAAATAGTTTATAATAAAGCTACTTTGAAAAGTGAAGTTAAAAGACGACTTACCGAAATTTCTGGGACGAAACTCGGAAGCTTCTTTGTTCTCGTTAAAGCGTCTTCTCCTCTTCATAGCTTTACTTGAAATCAAGCACTAAATAAATTTATCGATATAGCAAATAATGTTCAAATGTTTACTTTTATTTTAATTAAAGATTCAAAGAATAATGGAACATTAACAGAAAACCGTCTAAACGTTGAATAGTACGCAGCACTTAAAATTGAAATCAGTAATATTCTTAATAGAACCTGTGAGTTAAAAACAATGAATAAGAAGCGACTGAATCGCGCACAGTTAAAAAAATTTAAAAGAAACCGACTCAATCAACAGTTGTTCCGACTTTTAGAAAATAAAATGAAAAGTTTCTTTATTTTCTCTTTACTTCTTTATTCATTTGATATCATTTGAACTATTTTGTTCTAGTACACTTTGTATTTTTTTCTGTCCTTTTCTCTCACTCGGTGGCAGTAGTCGCGCGTGCGATCGAGCGCTCTATGATCGACACAGACCGCTGCGTTGGCCGCGAGCTCTCACCGTCTTTCTACACGCCATATATACATGTCATAAATGCAAAAAGCGCACATAGAGCGCGCGACTTTATAGAGGGCACCGAGTTGAGCGTTAGAGGGCTTTAACAAAGTTGTTTGAACCCAAAAGCAAAAAGATAATAAGATAAAAGAAAGTGAAATATAAATGCATATAGATATTAAAATATACAGAGGGTAAGTAAAATAAAAAGAATTTTATTATGCAAATATAATTTACTATAAAGAAATCGGTATAAATCGGTGACGTACATATGGGGTATACATCTTGTGTAACAATCATATAAACTGTTTATGATATTCAAAACATTTAAGTACATCTTTTTTTTCAATTTTTCTGTGGAAAATACAATCGAAAGCAAAATTTTTTATATTAATTAATTTGATGATTTTATAAGTTATATATAAGTCGTCATACACTGCTTATATAGTTCTTGAAACGTATTTTATATTGCATACAGTATTTTAATAAATTCTATTATTTAAATTTTTATTTGATTGAAATCTTATTATTTAAAATTTAAAATTGATAAAAATTATGGTTCAAAGGTATTACAAGTACATAATGAATTTGTGCATGATACATTTTATTTTAATAATTACTTTTAATAAAAAATATTTAATTAATTTACATGATACAGAATACTAATTAATACAGTATAATAAAATTTCCAAAATAGAATAATACCTATATAATTAATATCACATAATTTTTTTTAATGTTACATTAAATTGATTAAAATTTTAAATGACAAATATATTTAAATTAGGTTGAAAATAAAGAATAATATATTGTTTAATAAAAAAAATTATTTCTTTAATTTAAAAATGTAATTATTTCTTTGCCTCAAATTAAATAATTATTTATAATTAATAAACATTGGATTTTCTTAATTGACATTAAAATTTCAACATAGTAAACGCTAAAATAATATAAAACTTTCTTATTTATAATAATTATTATATCATATAAATATTATATATTATTAAAGAATAATACTTTTATAAATATTAATGAACTGAATTTACAATTTTTAAAAAATTGGATGTATCGAAATAAAGACATAAATATGATTATACCTTTTTTACGCAATTCATTATTTGGCTTCGACCTACTTAAAATGGATGTATTGATTAATAATATAAAAATGTATACAATGCCATAGAAATAAATATGGAAAACATTTCTTAAATTGTAAAAATTTATTCTAAATTTCAATTTCTTAATAAGCTTTATTGTACTTTCATCATATGCAATATGTGTCCCCATATAGACCTGGGTATATAGTTAAAGATAAAAAATTCTACTAGGATTACATATTTAGAGTACTAAGAATTGAAATTTTTAATAAAGAACTTCACCGTATATCTTAAAGGAAGTGCTAGAATATTAAAAAGCATTGAAAATTTTGCCCTATAATTTAATTAAAAAAAAAATTTTTAATCTATAATTTAATCTATATTGGGTTCCAACTATTTCTTCGTCGTTTATTAACGGGTCTAATGAAAGCGTTCTAATATAGTGTTAAATAATTATGAATATACAGAGAGAATGAAAAATTTTCAGTTACATCTAATTAATCCTGCAACTCCATTATGTAAACATTAATTAATGAATACATCTTATCATGTATTCAACAAGTCAGCTATTTATCTATCGTGGATCTGAAAAATGGATATTAATAGATTTATAGAAAACAAATTTTTGGTTGTATTTCCATTACGAAATCACAGCTTCGTGCAATAAAGCATTATTATGTTTGAACTAAATCTGCTTCTACCGTTTTCTAATGCCTGATGGATTATGTATACAACCATAGAATAGTACATATTCGTCTATTTGGAAAATACAGACTATGTGAAGTAAATAATAATTCTGTTTAAGAAAAATGATATAGTTAATCATTGAATACATAATGAAGTCACCTAATGCTATCCAGAAAACATAGTTGACATTTTAGCCTCAATACGTCTACAGAACGTAAAAAAGTTCCAAAGATAAAACGATTCGAAATCATATCACGATACTATCAATTCCTAAGAAATATCATTTTATTTATGGTCCTTCTAGATGAATTTTGTTGTTAATATGCTGAATTTAAGTGAAACAAATGAAAAAAGAAAACATTCCACAATATAAAGATGAAATTAATTAAAGAACCAATAAAACATGCTTAGACTTTTCTAAAGTTTATTTTTAAAATATGTATTAACTACGATGGGTTCAAAAGTATCAGAAATATAGACAATGAGATTATAAAATCTAAAATATCTTCATAAGATGAAACATGTTTTAATATTTTCTTAACAGTCGTTGGTACAGTGCTCTTATTATAGAGACTTATACTAAGCCTTAAAAAGTTCGGGGAAGTATCCATATTTGTACATCATCGATAAATGATTCTGTAGGCAAACTCTAGATAACTTGAACCAAAAGAAAACTAGTAAAAATTTAAATTGAAGTTCTAGGTATCTTAAGAATCGAATTTAATACATTAAAAATATATTACAACCATTTGAATTATAATATTATATTTATTGTTTTTAATTCTAAATTCAAAACGAAAGTTTTTTCATTTATTTTAAATCTAAATTATTAATATAATCGAACTTAGCGAAAAAATAATTTAAACTAATTTATATTAAGTATAATTATTCACTGCATAAAATAAATTGTAAATTTTTCATTGATTAACTATGAAAGACTGAAACTAAACAATCTATTTTTCTATAAATCTATTAAAGCTATTATTAATAAATAAAATTTTACATAATAATAAAATTGATAAAAAATTAAGTTAAAGAAATCAAGCAATAACTTTTTAAAAGTTGTTTTCTTTTTCATATATAAATATATACAAGAATATAAATATATACATTCATATATACAAGAAATGTAATTAAAAAATTAACTAAAAATTTGTAATTAACCTAAAAACTGTATATTATAAATATATTTTCTTTCAATAGTTTAAGTTTTATTTAATTATTTAATTATATAATAATGATAATTAATTTTGTAATTGAAATAATTGATTAATAGATACAATTTTGTTGACATATAGTATTTATTCATTTATTTATGCAGTAACTATATTTTTATATAATAATTATAGTTTATTAATATTACAGAAGTTCAATTGATAATATTTAATAATCAATATTTTAATTTGATTAGAATAAAAAGATATATTTTAATTAATTAGATTTTCATTTATCTTTATACACTATAAATATATATTTATTTCTGTATGTGTTTAACAATTTCTGATACCTATCACATATACATATTTAATACACAATATATTATTATTATAATGTATTATTTTATTTATACTTAAAAACTTAAAAAATATTTGATAATATATCTCAATTTACTGTTTATTAATTATTTATAAATATTACAAAAAATCAATAGGTATTTTTAAAAATAAGTTAAAGGAAAAGCCAGAAAATATTAATTCTTATAAACGTTCATTGATTCATTACAGTATAATAATAATTATCATTATCAATTTCTATAATTAATAAATTGTATTTTGATTAATTAAAACAAATTCTACAGAATCTTTCGCATGCTACATAATTAACACATATACTTAAAATTTATAAAGAATTTTTATCAAATTTTTTAATAAATCTTTTTGCATTAAAAATTAATAATTTCTAGATATAACATAAATCTTTGACTATTTATAATAAATAATACCGATAAGTATAATTAACTAATTATTGTTCAATATTAACAAAATCTATAATAGTTATTTCAAATCATTTTATTTGTTTAAAATTTTTTTTAACATCATACTGTATAGTTTTTTCTAATGAAATTAAACTTAGCTATAGGCAATAACTTTATACCTCTAGTTTTGTTTAAAACCGTTATCAGAACGGTGTCGCTGTTAATTGGGGTGAACATTTAAAATAAAATGGCAACTTTATATTCTACTCATTACGTTATCTGAAAAAAACACTGCATTTCTTAATTCTAAACTTAAAATAATATTTATAAAAGATTTATATATAATAATGGATAATTTTTAATGCACAAAATTTGAATAATTTATTTTAGTATTTTTATTTTTCAATTGTTTTCTTATAATAGCCTTTTTTTAAAAATATTCTTAATCTTCTCTAGTCTTACATCTTTTTTCTATGTAAACTAAAATTAGCTTGACATATTTTAATTTTTTTAATTTTATATGTTAATGGTATTACGTTATTATAAAAGCATTTAAAAACACAATAAATTAAAGATCGTATTTCTACTTTATTTTTTGTATAAGTATTAATAAATATGCTTTCTTCAATATAATTTATTTTTTAATTAAAATTCATATAAAATTTATTTTCGTGTTATTGTCAATGGTCATTTGAAAATAAATAATTTTATACACTTTTCAACATTTTATTTAATAATAATAGTAATAAATATTATTTAATAATCTTAAATAAAAAACATATTTACTGAAAAAATGATGCCTACTTAATTTAGAGAGGAAGTCTAAATATTTAAGTATTCCTTAAGTATACTGTGTAAATGTTTACATATTATATATAATACATATATATTTTCCATGAATAACTTGTATTCAATCAATAACTGAGTATAAACTATTTTGGATCATTCATAGATTTATTATTTAACATGCTACTATTTGTCCAGAAATTTCATAGCCTTATTGGT